AATGTGTTTATTTTAACGAACTTTTACAGGTGTGTTTTAGAGAGTATTTTAACTTATTCAGTAACTGTTTGGTATGGACGTGCAACTGTGGAGGAGAGGAACAAGTTGGAAAAGATCGTCGAAACTGCAGGGATTGTAATTGGAACAGATCTAACTCCCGTCCATACTATATATCTAGACAGGACTAAAAAGAAAACATTATCAATAGTGACAGACAGTTCCCATCCAGCCCATACCCTTTTTAAATTTTTACCTAGCAATTCGAGACTCTTAGCTTTTAAGGGTAGTAATGATTTTTAAATAGCTTTTATCCTTCGGCAGTAACTATTTTTAACTCTAACATGTAATTTTAATTTTAATTTTTTATATTTCAGTGGCGCTACTACAGGACAAAAGATTCCCGATTTTATACATTTGTATTTTATTGGCTTAATAAATTATTATTATTATTATTATACAATGCATAACTAAAAATTTAATTAACATATTCACTGTATATATATGTATAATTGTTACTGCATTGTGATGCATTAAGTCCTGTAGTCTTAAGTCCAAGCACAATGGAAATGTTAAGGTACCGGTACAATGTACAACAGTAGAGACCAATTGACACTAATAGGGAGTGGAGAGGAATTAACAAGATTGGATAAATATGGTGTGATACACATTATGTAATGCATATACTAGTACAGTACACAGTACCCAGAATATTTAATTGTTAGTGGCCATGGATCAACCAACAGTGGGAAATTCCTAGAATATTTTCCCAGTATTATAACCACCCTCTAAGTCTTACATGTAACACATAATCAGTCACTGCTACATTGTGGTAATATGATTTAAGTGATGTTGTTGTAATGCACACACAAATATATACATTGTGTATATCCTTACTGGTCACAGGAATGAAAATTTAACCTACTAAAGGTAGTAGTAGGTTAAATTTTCCAGGACATACTCTGTTGCACTGTTGAAGTCTGATTGCCTTACTTTGATACTTAGTTTACACATGCATATGTGAACAAGTGTATTTTCTTTGTCTTTAGTCGTATGTGCCTCGAGCTCTTAGCAAATAATATTTTAAATCCCATCAGTGATACATTTTTGCCTGTTAATATGATGCTTTTACATTTTGAAGAAGTTTTAGAATGCTGACAATTATGTATGGTCATTGCTTTTCTTTAAAATTCTAATCCTATGCAGTTTATTTTATAAAGGCTGATGATGATTATACAGTTACTGTCACCTGGGAGGATGGTCACAACAGTTCCTTCAAGGCAGACTGGTTACTGTACAGGAGTTTCAGTTCAGAGCAGCAGCACCGGCGTCTACGCCTGTACCGCCCTGAGTGGAAACACTGGGGTGCAAATGAAATGCAAGGAAAGATACCACAGTTTGCCTTTGGTGAAGTAAGCTTATTCATGTGTTCATCACTCAGGAGAAATAAAACCTATGGCCTCTGCAGTCAGGCCTTTTCTTTATGAGAAACATTATACTTGTGATTAAATTTAGGAAAGAACCCACAAATTATTCAGTAAGGGGGTTGTGTGTGAGTCACTTGTGTTTTAGATAGGCTGTACTATATAGTAGAAAGCGAGATGCTTGGGTAATTTGGTTAATACACTATAAAAGTGGAGCAGTGGAGAAAACAAGGTGTTTCACACGGTGATTCCACCCTTTTAAATGCTGTGACAATTTCATTTTAGCAGATACAGTGTTTTTTATGACTTTTTAACAGACCAATGTACTGTTCTGTCTTCATTTAATGAGTTGTCAGTGGCTGTACCATAAAATATTGGCAGAATTCAAATTCATTCCCAGGTTTGCACATTATTTCTTGACACCTTGTCTCTTTTTGCTCGCGAGTCAGGTCAAGTTATTCCTTATTATGTATACACACTACCCATATACTAAAGGACATATAATATGATAGTTGATTATAAGGTCCATATACATACTTCATTTTTGATAAAAATTTCCAAAAACATAAAAAAATTTTTTTTTGTTCTCTAGTATGATGAAACAATACCAGAACAGTATATTGGTACAGTATGTTGGTCTGTTAAAAAGTCATATATTAGTTATTACTTATTCATTAGTTATAAAAGTCAATACAATGTATAAGTTAGCAACATCACATTAATTATTAAATATAAATAGTTTTCATGTGTGATTGTCTGGGAGTATGCAGCAAAAGATATGAAAAAATATCCATCTGATATGCAGTATATATATATATATATATATATATATATATATATATATATATATATATATAAAATTAAAATTAATAAATAAATAAATAAACAAAAGACATGCAAAAACCCCGACTCCGAGTTTCACGGGCATACCCAGAAGGTATGCCCGATCGTCAGGAGGTTTATTTGAAAAATTTTAATTTTAATTGTGTACAAATGCTCCGTACTGTTGAGCACTCTGTTCCACATTCACGCTTGTTATATATATATATATATATGTTTATGTATTCATAAACTGTATATCACATGGATATTTTTTCACTTTTCCTACTTTTCAGGTGATGTCTGAAGATCGCAGTCTGCATGACTTCCTGCATACCCTGGATGTGATGGGATTAGTAATGTTGAAGAATACCCCTACTATGACAGGCCAGCTGGAGAAACTCGGCAAAAGGATTGCGTACTTAAGACCTACCAACTACGAGTAAATCTAATGTTTCTTTTACTGAATTCTGGCTGAAACTGTTTTCCACACTAAATGCTAAAATATTTATTTATTTTTATTTTACCTTATTTTTAAGGAACTAGAAAAAGCTGTAAAACAATGAATCACAATTGCAGTGAAATGATCTAATTCTTTTAATTTCTTGCTTGAAATATTTTTTATACCTTTCATTTATTTCTCTTTTTTTAAATACTTGAACTTTATATTAATGTGCAATTCCTTTCATTTGTGTGAATGAGATGTAGAATGGGGATAGAGAGAGAATTTCTGTATACTTGCATCTTGAGAAGTAGACGTGTTATCTCTTTAGCTTATAAAATGAAATATGCATGCTCTATCTTTTCATAAACAAATGGGCTGAAGCTACATGCCTACTGACACAACTCTATTACAGCATGTGTGTTATGCTTACTAACTGGGATATTTCATTACTCTCAAGGTTGGTATTTACGGTACAGAACAAGGTTGCTCCTAATAACTTGGCATTCACTGCCAAACGTCTTGGACTTCACAATGACCTGCCATTTTATCATCACACACCAGAGGTGAGAGGTCTTTGTAGTGCACGCTTTGATGAAGGCTGTCAGCCTGCTTCTGCTAACAGACTGCTAAATGACCACTATTCTGAAGGAAATTTTAGCAGTTACTAAATTGCATAGTCATTCTGTAGATACTAATCATGCTTGCATTCAAGAATTTTTTTCTCTAAATTATATGGCCAGACACTGTTTGGACATGTATAGGTTTCATCTGCTGCATCTGTCATCGCCATCACTGTGAACTTTCCTTGTAAGCACCTTAAAGGGAAAAACAACTTATTTATCAGTCCTAAACTTACAGGAATAATTCATAGTACTAAAATAACCAAATTGGATTATTTTTTCTTGAAGTAATTTTTTTGTGAGTTCTTCATTTTATCCCAAAAGGCATGCTCATTGTGTGAATTAGACTTCCCATACATCTGAAGCCCTGTGCTAGTTACATTTCCAAACGTACACAGTAACAGCACTACATAATCACAATTTTGTGGGGATTATACTGTTAAGCATAATGCAATGTTACATCGAAAAATACAAAATGAATAAGTAAATATATAAACATATTTTGTCCACTTTCATTGTTATTGAACTGTTTTATTGTTTCTGACAGTTTTGACATGTATATGTCTGTCCATGTGACAGCTATGCTGCCTTGTTTGGGATAGAAACTAGTGTGATTTATTAAGGCATATGCAGTGGTAGACAAATCCCCTCCTCTGCCCCAGTTAGTAACAGTCAATAGATTAAATGATTCTTATAACCCCTTTTACTTCTTGACATAAAATAAAGATTTTTTGAGAGACATGTTTCATGACAGCTGGTTGGTATTCAAGTAGCATATACACAGCGTGGAGTCTGCATCTGCCACTGCATTTGTCAACAGAAAGCTGGTCAAAAGTTACTTTGGTTGTGCTTATCCTAGCTTGAATCCAGATTATGTTGTGATTTGTTACAGGACGGTGTTTACTGTAATCAACAGGAACAAAAATGCCAATAACCTAGCTTATACCCGGCGAAGGCTTGGTCTGCATATGGATCTGCCCTTCTATGAATATTCGCCAGAGGTATAAGTCATGTATTATCAGATAAATTTGGAGAGGTATAAGTGATTAAAGTGATGTATTATTAGATAAATTCTTCAAGAAAAGACAATGCTTTATTGAAATTTAATGCTATTTTAGTGGTCTTTGATAATGTGATTGCATTACCTCTTCCACACTTTCAAAACTTGTGTCCACCTAGGACCCTCCAAACAATGTTTCTTGGTTCCTCGATCCAAACACAATGTTCTGATTCAAGTTGTATTTCTTTCATTCCAGAGATGAATTATTGCAAAAGTATATCTTGCCTCCGTGCTTGATCACAAATTTCATATCAGATTTTCAGTTAATGCAGTTGAATGTTTTATGCAAGTTAATAGTACTGGTTTAATGTTGTAAAACAAATTTGTTATTCCCATGCCTTTGCATTTTGTGGCAGATCATTTGGGACCCAGATTAGTTTCTTTACTTGATCAGTACTTAAATCTGAAAATAACATTGTATATTATGGAAGGGTATATCATTTTAACATGATGTGTAGGGTTGAGGGTACATGTGAATGTTGCCTGCAAAACTGTGGCTTTGAAAAAGCTTACATTCGCAGTTATACAGTTTAATTATTGTTTACTCATATATGTCACATACATTTGTACATATTTGACATTTAAGATATGGGTCAGCACTTTTGTTCTGGGCAACAGTGAATATTCTATGGAATAGATTAAACAGTAAACAAAAAAAAAAAAAAATAAAATAAAGGACTCTCTGAAAAGCAAGTAAAACCAGAAAGCTTGAAAAAATAGTAAGATGTACCTTTGATGCATATTTTATTAAATTTTAATTTAAAATGCTGATAGATACAATGTTATTTGAAGCACTGATCTATGTACAAGTGGTATTGTCATTTCTGTTGGTTCCTATGTATAACCTGATAGATGCCAGCAACCTGAAGTATGTACAAGTCTTCCTCAGTCATTTTAAAAGTGCATATATCATATGTAGATTCAACTGCTGCACTGCATCAAGCAAGCTGATGGGATGGGTGGAAGCAATGAATTTGTAGATGGACCTTACGTTGCCAAGCAATTGAGGGACCTTAATCCAGAGGCCTACAAAACGCTTACAACGACCTTAGTGGACTTTTACGATGTTGGAGAAGAGGCTTACAAGTTCAACTTTGCTTATAGATGGCCAGTGATAGCGTAAGTTGTGAAGTTTTCAGTGTTGGGGATAAAAAAGGACCTTGATTATAAAAGAAATGATGGCATTATTATTCTTTTGCTTTGTTTCCTTTTGGATATTTAAAAAAAAAATAATACAAAAAATTGCATCACTATAATAAGACTCATTTTATCATTGATTAACGATTCTTTAAATATTTTAAGTAATGCCTAATTTCAAATTCAGTCTTGGCAGAGATGGAGAACCTGAGAGCATTTTCTACAATGATCAAGTGCGTGCCTACCAACTCAACATCCCTGCGGAAGAAGTGTATGGTTTTTATAAAGCACTGAAAGAGTTTCACAAACTTATGTATGACCCAAAGAACATTGTTGAAGTAAAAATGGAGGAAGGTAATAATTAAAAGTTGAAAAGTTAAGTAAATCTTAAAATCTCTCCAACCAAGATGTTGTCTGACACTACTAAGAATTTTTACATTTTTGCTGTAAGTGAACACATTTTTATACTGGTCTACAGGTACATTAATAGTCATCAGTTAATCCACCAATATATTGGTTGTGTTGTAACCTGGTTAATGCATCACATATTTTAATTTGTATAATAAATCATCTATATTTTATTTGCATTTAGGTTACTTTTCTGTCAAGTATTTTGACCATAACTAAGGATGACAAAAACTGAAATATGTGTTATCTTTCCATACTTTTTCTTTCCAATTTCTTGAAGAGTCGTAATGGTGTCAGAATTTTTTACATTTTCGCAGGTGACATTGTCTGCTTTGCCAATAAGCGGGTTTTACACGGCAGAACTGGCTATGAGAATGTAAAGGGAGAACGCCATCTAGAAGGAGCATATTTCGATTGGGATGAAGTCCGCTCTCGTGTCCGGGTCCTCAAAAGAGACCTTAATATTGAACCCTGAGGGCATCCAATCAACAGCCCAGAAGATCTTTTAAAATATAAAGCAGCACAATAAAGAACATTTGAAAATTAAACATTAGCTTTGCAGCTATTAGCCAACAGAAAATGAAAAGATATAACTTTTATGATCATACATGTCTAGTACTAATTAAAGTTAATGTGCCACTAGTAACTATATTATGTAAATGATTTGAACTACATTTTTATAATAATTACAAATCTAATTACAGCGAAACCAACTTTTTAGCCGATATAAGATGGAGGTTTTGACTGTTAGTAATTGTGTTAAACCATCTGGTTATTGGATTTTAGTTTCTTTTGAGGGAACAGTTTTTGTTTAAATTTTCAGAAAAGATCAGATGTAAGGTTCTAGCAATTAAATAAGTTAAAGACAATAATTCTGTTTTATTACCCTTCGATATTTTATTGAATTTTTTAACCTACGCACCAGATACAACATATTATTGGCTGGCATTCGTCTTCAGTAAAGAACCTTTTTGTTTTTGTAAATTGAATGTTTTTAAGAATAGTTTTAAAATTTTATTTCAAAATTTACAAGATCCAATACATCTAACATAAAATTAGAAAGATTGACTTGCAGGCAGACGTTGGTGTAAAACTGAATGAAGATTTCAGGCAATTTGTTTGGAATATATATAGTTTTAGAATATATTTTCGTAAATGTTAATGGCCCAAATTATCAAGTATTTTTGTAGGTCAGGTTTGCATTTCTTGCAGCAATACAGTATAAAGAAATTCAGGCGTTTGTTTATTTATTTTTATGTGAGTCATACATTCAAACTATACTTGATGGTACTGCCAATTTTCCTCGTTTCATTCTTTGTATGTATATGTCACGTTTTAAAAAGCTTAAGTCTATTGTACTTGAAGAAGGGGGACAAAAAGAGGGCATTTATCAAGAACTGTGAGGAGAACCAAGGAAATATTTGAATTGAAAGTTTTTGACCGAGAACGACATCCTTGGATGTGAGGCGAAGACCAAAGAGATGACTCATCTTTGCCATACATTCTTTATGGCAGATAATTTTGGAGCGATGTTGTTTGTCAAATGCCTAAGGATAAAACGCTTGTACATGTAGCTATACTTGCGCCATTACTCTTATATGTAGAAGCGTATTGCTTGCAACAGTATTATTTACATATATAATCTTTTGTTGACTACATATCCATTTTAGATCCTTTTTTTGTAAGTTGGTGGAGGGTACAATGTAGTTTTGCAGAACCTCGATGCAATTAACAATAATAAATTTGCGTTTTATTTCTCCTATCCATTGCTTTTCTTTTTAATGTAGTCTCTGCGAAAATTAAATATGCCGTGGAGCATGTTGTTTTTTTATGAGTATGATTATAATGTTATAATGAAAGCTTGAGACTTAAAAATGCCATAATTACTTTTAGATTTTATATAAAAAGGCAGTATTAAAAGAAAATGAGAGAACACGTACATGTACTGCATGTAGCACAGTCACGTGAGTGTGAAATATATCCGTGGGTCCTTTGGTAAAAAATCCAACAGAGGAGAGGAAGAAAGGGAGGAAAATGACCTTTGATGATAGTAACAAGAGTCGGAGGAGACCCATGGCGACATGTTTTAATAACTGCTTGCAAATATCAACGTTAAGATAAAATGTTGAAGATAAAGCGTGAACTGACACGAGCTGGTTTCAGCCGATCTGATCGTCTTCTAATCAGTAATATTTTTGGGGCATGAATACTTTAACCCAGTTCACACAGTCACATGTATAAAGTACATGTACAGTGACAGTGTATGCACCCATCTCGACTCACGAGTATGAACATCTCGACTCACGAGTATGAACACAACGAAGGAAAGTTGGGTTGTTTGCTGCATTTCCCTTTTTCTCACCTGTCGCACTCCAGTTAAGTACATATTAGTACACTGTATATATATCCCTTTTTTAAACCAGTCGCATTCTTGCTAAGGTTTAAATCTTAGACGATTAAAGATTTTTACAAGCTGTTCCTATCAATTGGACCATTTGAGACAACGTGTTTTTACGTTTGCGAATAGGAAATATGAGAAATGTGTTAGCGCTCAATCTCAATGAAGCTATCGTTCTACGTAGATCGATCCAACTCTGCTGGGACTCTCGCTGAATGCAATCAGTTTAACAGATTAACAGGCCTCCTCTTGTTTCCAACGTACTCGTTAATAAAGTACATGCAAGCATACGCGTCATGATGCGCAGAACCTTCGTCTAACAGCGGAAAACACGGCTGAATTAATCGATCAGCCATTTTTTCCAGTTTTCGTCCATTTTAAATAGAAGAAATAGAAAAGAAAGATCAGCTACTCCCGTGTTTTTGCGCCAGTTAAAACATTTGCTGGTTAATACATTTAACACCCGAGAGATAAGTGTTCTAAACAGTGTTTGTTTATTATAAAATGTTACTCAATTGTCTACTTCGAGTTATCTCTCTCACGTCAAATCACGTGAGAACATTGGACTTGAGTTTCATAACGTCTGCCTTATTATTTGAGGGGGGAGATCAGTGGAAAGTACATATATATGCACCATGTGCACGTGAGCGTTGTCAGATGAATGCAAATATTTTGCCTGATTAACTAATAAGCTAACTAACCATCATTCAAATAACAACTGCAATATGAGATGGTATATGGGACCCAAAACAGAGTCCCCTGGTCTTTACTTCCATCCCTCCCTTCACGTGTTTCCTCCGTATCTTATGTACATATGTATGTGCTATTGTACAAGTTGTCCAAAAATTATAAAACCTTTGGTTAAATCCCACAAGTGTGAGTTTCTTTATAATTCGTTTTTGTACCCATACCACATCTAATATTTCGTGAACTATATCTGTCCATTGGATGGATTATGTGAATCTTGCTGTGTTATGTTCACCACAAAGTCACAGTGACATGGAACTCCATTTCTTTTCATCCACGTGAAAAAGTTTATTTGTTTTTACTACACTTGTCTGGTTCGCAGTTTTGAAGAATGATTATAAGTAAAATGATTTGTGTGAATAAAACAGTCGCCATTATAGTTCTGAGAGAGCGTATAGTGCCCAAATTCAACATAATAACAATGTCAGCGAATAAATGTAGGGGAAAATGGTAATCAAAGATCAGCTAAAAAACACATTGACGCAAACTGGTCAGGGTGAAGAAATAATAGGTATTGATGGGCCGATCAGATGGGTTAATAACTTAATATATTGAATGTGGCGCATTACCTTTTGGGACACCCTATTTATCTTTGACTTATGCATTTAAAGCACAGAAGACTGAATTAGGATATCAGTAACTTACGAAACAGAGCGGCTGAGACCATCGTCCGATATAGGCCTGTTGAGGTAACACTTAAGAACTGTTCCTTAGCTTGTTTTTAAGTATTTTGCTCTCTCTCTTTCTCTCTCCGTCTCTCTCTCGCTGCTTCACCAATGGTAATTTTTCATTAACCGTATCCCTTGAACTAGAGTTGAGAAAGCTTGATGAACATTTTGTTTTGCTTTAGATTATCTGAATAGGTAGCTGAAATGACGTCAACAAGGATGATTCTTGTCTTACTGGTGGCACCAGCTTTCGTCATGTCTAACGAATGCCAGAATAATATCAACGGTTGCAGTGTCCCTTCGTTCCTTCAAGGATTTGAAAATAACAGAGAATATGTGGCAATATTCGAGTCAGTCTGTAATCAACACGACATGTGTTATAACTGTGTAAGTGACGTACCAGCAGTACCAGTAGTACGGTACATGTACTTGTGCATGAAAACTGAGTAAACTATATATATATATAACAAGAAGTTGAATTTTTGTAATAGGGACAGGCTTTGTATTTTTATTACGCAGTGTCAACAAGTACTTTAATTACCGGATGATAAGCGTTTGATGAACACATACTGTATCAAATATTTATGGTTTTCTGTCTTTATCCTTGATTACACCGGCAAACACGTACCGGTAATATTTGAATAGTGATGAGTCAAACGTTTCGTACAATAATGAATGATTAAATCGAACGGTTACTTGCACCTCCCCCACCCTTATCCATCAATTTATAGTATTTAAGGGCACTGTGTGTCTTCCTTATATAAAAGGTTAAAAAGACACCGAGATCAACAGAAGGGTATGTCTTAGAATCACTATTGCAACTTGGAAGAGAGTGCACGGCGTTTAGATAAATATTCCCGGCATGCGGGAGAGGGACAGGTTGACTCAACACCACTCCCTCGCCATTTGTTTTTTAAATTTATCATGGAAGTGCATAACGTGTATGTTAGTGGCATGCAATATTTAAAACACATTCTCTTAATCATGAAAATATTTTATGACTGTCATCTTCCATTCAATTTTAGGGAGCGGCGTTTGGAATTAATAGAAGCGGTTGTGACACAAGACTATACCGACATATGGTAGACGTGTGTGACAGAACGGACGCTGCATCCCTTCCTGGCGGAAAGCCACGTTGCTATGACAGGGCAAATGCATTTAAAACTTCCGTCACTTTGTTTGGGTTTTGGTTTTATCACAGCAAAGCTCTTAGTTGGTGCAACGATAGGTGCACGGCAGATTATTTGGGAAATGACCAATTTTAAACTCTCACCTATATGCAAATGTGACAGCTCAGAAAGCCATCGAATTATATTTCTCGTTTTGGAAATATTCCATTAATTTTGACAAGAGTGTACCTGGCCTCTCAATCAAACAAGCGACAGTGCTTATGTGTAAGACGCTCTAACAGAAAAAAAAAAGACAGTGCGCGCCTTGGAATGTATTTTCATATGAAAGCCATCCTCTGTTTAAAATGTTACAGTGTGCAGTCCGAAGTAGGCCGCAGAATCGTTTATTTTTACAGAGTATTTGTGTTATACTAATGATATTCAGGGTATTGAAGGGACCTTACAGAATGCGTTATGTTGACTTGGCTAATGCGCACTAACTCCAATGTGACTCTCGCTGAATGCAAGCACACAAGAGAATGATTAGGCTGGTAATCTGATTGCATTTAGCCAGAGTTCCCGTGGAGTTACTTCACATTAGCTATGACGTCATAATTCTTTCTGAACGGTCCCTCAGTTAGATACCTGACTGGCATCTTTGGTTTTCTTATACCTTAATTGTACGTCATCAATATTTAAACGTCTTACAAACAGGACAAAGAGAATAAGCACTTTTATGCTCTCATGCGCTCTTTGATCAAATGTGATTAGAATCAAAGTGCGGTTCGTGTAGTAAAGGTACCCTCTACCAGGGCCGCAGTTATTATTGTGGACATTTTTTGCTGAATCGACTGAGAGCCAAAATGACTGTCTATTTATCTATAGACATATCTTTGAATATCTGTGGAAAATCAATCTGTCGCCCTGGTAAAGGGTATAGTAAAGGCACTTTTTATTTTGTGAAGCAATAAATATCAGAGCCCAATCATTGGGAATGGTGAGTGTAGGTGTTTCTTCGACTTCGAAAACCCCCGGCTGTGATAAAAACACCTGCTGGTGTCAAATGTGTAACTAACAAGCTAGTTTCCTCTCTGTCCATTATCACTGATTAAGGTTTGCTAAGTAATACCTTAGCATTTGATCTCCCCATATTTAGTTTGCTTTCACAACGAAACCCAGATCGTTTACTGCCGTAGCTTTTAACATGAATTTTTGCTCACAAGTTTCAAATCTTCAGAACTCAAGCAATGTTTTGAGTTAAAATCACGAGCTTGTTTAGGTGCCACACATTCTCTGACGTGTGAAATCTTCATATTAATCGGTCTTTTTAGACCTTTAAAGCAGAGTACATTTCGGTGAGTCGATATCAGACATATTCCTTACAGTTCCATCTCGCCACGACTGGCTCCTGTTCACAGAGCCGTGCTGGCGAGTTGAGGGTTGCATGTCATTCACGGAATGATGTTTTCGTTTCATAAAACGGGACTTTTTCTTGCTGAAATTGTTCGTGGAATTTTCAACACCAAGGACCTTCGATAACAAAGATGTAAACATGGTATCCACATCTCGACCTTTTTTTGCGCTTGTTTCCATGAAGCAACAATTGTTCTTGCCCAGAGTAGCTTTTTCGGCCTCTTCAGTCTCTACTTGTCTGAGCCCATCAGAAGCGGTGTCACTTTTGTTTCCGATTAGCATTATAAGTGGTGCAATGGAGCCTCCTAGAATGTAAGAATTCATTTAACA